GGGGGGTGTCAAAAGTCCATCAAAGTTCACAGAAACTACAATACGGGAGGCTATGGGTGGTGGAAAGAGAGGCAGAAGCAGACAGAGGGAAAAGATACGGGACAAGATGACAACATGGCTAGGAGCACTAAGAACAACAGACGCCATTGCTGCAACGCAAGACAGAGTGAAGTGGAGGTCCATGATCGCCCACGCCAGTCGGCAAGGCACCGGATGAGGATGATGATGATGATAATGATGATGATGATGATGATGATGATGATGATGATGATGATGATGATGATGATGATGGGTGGTTTGGGGTGGGGCGAGGAGGGGGAATTGAGACAATAAAAATCCCGAGAAAATAGAATCTTGTCCTTGCTTACCGTTGAGCTGAGTCTGTATAACTGCGTCTCCCATGCCCCATAGGCCAGCCAGCACAAAGAAGAGAACTCTGTCATCACGATGGGGAGACCACAGCAAGAAGGCGATCTGAAGACCTCCGTGCAACACGAACGCTGGTTCACCATGGGGGATTGGGCACATGTTTGTAGAGGTTTATTTTTTTTTTAGGGGGGGGGGGTGTAAAAACAAAATAAATGACACAGTGTCAGGTGGATGCGGGTGTGTGAGAGAAAGGCGAAATGGTCGTATAAAGTCTTCACATGAATTTGTGAGGCAACGTGGTGGAATCAGGCTCTCGTCAATTTTTGGGATTGTAGAGTTATTGGTATCATCTTAAAGATTGTTCACTTGTCTATATTTGAAAGAAAAAAAATATCCATTTATCTTGAATACAAGTCGAGATATTTGTGAATGAAGGATGTGGGGTCACCTGTTTTCAGAGGTAAAATTAGTGAGAAAATGGCCGCCAAAGATTAGTTAATTTCCTTAGCTTAGGAGTCCGTGGTAACTGAACATTTACATTATTTGTTCCTTTAATCAACTTTTTAAAGAAAAATCAAAACAGAAATGAGTTCTTTAATGGGCATGAAAGGTGATGAGCCAAAAAAACAAAAAATTGATAAACATTCACAAACCAGAGGAAAAATGCACGTTTCTTCACTTTGATTATTTTGACGAGAGCCTGATTCCACCACGCTGCCTCACATTTGGTAATAACAGACCTCGTTGTAACATAGGATGTTTGCTGTGGTCTGGTGCAACATCATTGAAGATTTTGTTTGTCAAATTCTCACTCTCCTCCACTCTCCTTCTCTCTCTCTCTCTCTCTCTCTCTCTCTCTCTCTCTTACTTTCTCTCTCTCTTACTCTCTCTCCCTCTCTCTCTCTTTCTCTCTCTCTCTCACATACACACACGCATACACACACTCTCCATATCTCAATATCCTTCTCTCCGTCCATGTACCCCCTCTTCCCGTGTGCAAGTTGTGCATGCTTAAGATCCCCTAGTAGTTAAACATCGATTAGAGTAGAACTTAAAAAGTAATTCCCAACGAACTTATTATGCAGTTGTGAGCGCCGTAAAATACCCAACATAACAAATCTGTACCCCCTCTCTCTAAATCTCTCTTTCTCTCATTACGGCTACCAATTTATCTACCTATCTTGCATCCCCTCTCTACAATTAACAGGCTCACGTATACATAAATATATAAGGCACATAACAAAACATACATATAATTTTATTTAAGAAAATATGTATTTTAAAAAAAATACTTTTGGTAGGTGTCTTACGGTGCTCGCAACTTTATAAGGTCATATGAGCGCGCAGGACACACCTAATACTTTTAGTTGGTAGGAGATTTTGAATTTTGCCCGGGTGGCGGCCGAAGCCTACTCTTATCGATTTTAGACCAT